GCACATTGGGAACACTTTTACTCACAAAGAGGAAACACTCTCACCTGACAAAGTGTGATTTATTCCTAGAATAAAGATCAGGTTAGCGCTTTGGGAAACGGCCCGCTCATTTCCTGAGCTGGGTGTCGAGCATATCTTGTACATCGGCACTCAGAAATACTGATTGTCTTCATGCTGAAGAACGGTGAGGAAGGAACCTCGTCTAAGGTCGAGTGAAGCAAATCTGTTTGTGACATGTAGTATTTTATTTCATACAGAAACTACATTTTCTGTGTGTTGTTGTAGCAAAAGCTAACAGGGTTACTTGTAAGGCAGCCGCTTATACTGCTGTGTACTGCCAGGATTATGCCTGGAATAATGGGACTATAAATTTGATGTTTCCTCGTGCTCACTGGTGGAAGAAATGATGACACTGGTTTACCTTCAAATAAACTCTGACAGCTTTTAAATAATAAAATTTGAAACAAAGTTAAAATTGTATGTTCCTTCCTTTCACAGACACATTGATCATATTAATCTTCATAAACTAAAGTCTCAGAATTGCAACCCCAATGCCACAAAGCAAGTCGGGATGCTGTGTAAAGTGTCAATTTAAAAACAAACAAACTGAATGTGATTGTTTTCAGATCACACACAAACGCATTTAATTCAGAGTAAAGCACAGGAAACGTAATATGTTTCAGTTGTGTAACAATTGTGTCAACTGTTGTCCTATTTATGTCTGATAGAGGATTCTAGCTGCTCAACAGTCCTGGGTCTTATTTGTCATATTTTTTGTTTGTCGATGTGCATTCAGCTGGTGACAAATAGAATAGAATAGAATAGAATACCTTTTATTGTCACTATATACATGTATAATGAGATTCAGAGCAGCTCCTATCCAGTGCAGACATGTGGAAAAAGAAAAGGGGGATGAGGTGCATAGTTCTGAGGCATTATGAACAGTCTCAATTAAAAATATCAAATATACAAATATTGGAAAAAATGAAAAATACAAATAAATAGGGTTTACAGTACACAGTTTTTTTTAATGTTTATTTATAAGATTGTAAGTTCGAAGTTACATAAAATCACACCAGACAAAGATTTGATTTTTTTTTTTTAATTTATTTGATTTTATTGATTAGTATTCAAATATCTCAATGAATACAGAACAAAGAAATACCACAAAGCAAGAAAGCATAAGACAAGGCTAATCAAAAGGTATTGGCTGAAGCATTTGCTTATTACGCCAACCCTTTTAGGACAAAGGACATAAGATTCAAAAATAATAACATTCAAGCACAGAAGAAAAAGAAAAACAAACAAAGAAAAACAGGAAAGAAAAGAAAAAATACACCGGTTAGCCAGTACAAATCAAAAGTTCAAAAGAAACACCAGTGTCCAAAGAAGATGATCTTCTGTGTGAGGTTAGACAGGGCAACAGAGAGTCCAGAAGATGCGGGGAACAAGTCCAAGAAGGAATCAGGGTCCGGCAGAAGTGCAGTTTCACACAAACACAAAATGCAGTCAAATAGGTTAAAGTTTATGTTGAATCCCCGTTAATATGATTGAGAAAAGGGCCCCAGATTTTGACAAACTAAAAATGAGTGTCAGCCAGACGATAACGAACCTCTTCAATATACAAACGTGCAATCATCTCACGTAGCCAAAACCTAAACAATGGAGGAGATGGTGATTTCCAGGCTCTAAGAATAAGTCTTTTAGCTCCAATCATGCCAAACATTAAGGCTTTCTGAAGAGGACTTCAGGACGGCTTTAATTTGATGTCATAAATACAGTTATATATATTAAATATCTCTGCCCAGAAACTCCAGAGTGTAGGGCAAGACCAGAAAAGGTGACCAAGGGTTCTTTCCATTGCTTTGCAATGGAAAAATAGATGGAAAAATGCTGCCGAGCTTTGTTTTAGAAAAATGCAAACGATGAAGGACCTTGAACTGTATAAGTTGTAGTCTGGCATTAAAAGAGCGTTCTTTAATCTTCTTCAACCCATGGGCCCACAAAGCATCCGATATGTCTACTTCCAAGTCCTTAATCCAAGCATCCTTGATGTGGTTTGTAGGTGCAAGTGTAAAAAGTGTAGTAAACTGGCTTATTAGGTGTTTGGAAGTGGGATTTTTAATCAAATAATCATAAAAGTCACTATGAGCAGGGGCCTTATCCAGATGAGTGTTAAACAAAATCCCTCATTTGTAAGTATCTAAATAAATGAGGGGAGCATAAATTTTGATTGCAACTGAGCAAATGAAGCAAAACAATTGTCGATGTAGAGGTCCTTAATAGTGTGAAGACCTAATTCTGACCAAAGCTTAAACAAGCAAGGTGAAAAAGAAAGGTTTTCAGTTATGGGAGCCAAAATGGATAGGTCTGGAAGGCACAAAGCACCCCTAACTTGCTTTAAGATCCTAAGAGAATGACCTAGGACAAGACAGTACACAGTTTAGCATTGTCTTGCTGAAATATGCAAAGCCTTCCCTGAAAAGGACTTCATCTAGATCAGAGGTGGGGAACTGCAGGTGTAGGTGTCCGGCAGGTTTTAGGTATTTTACAAAATAAATTAAAAACTTTTTTATGACCACAGAAGATTCTTCCACTTTGTCTCAGTCCATTTTAAATCATCTTTGAGCCGGTGAAGAGAGCAGCATTTCTGAATCATGTTCACATATAGTACGGCTTCTTCTTCACACAATAGAGCTTTAACCTGCGACTGTGCATGCCACGATGAACTGCGTTCCAAGACAGTGATTTCTGGAAGTGTTTCTGAGCCCATGCTTTGATATTAATGACTTGACTCTGTTTTTGATTCAAATTTTCAGTACTTTATATTTAGGAACATTATTCTGAAATGATTTCTACACTTTGTAGACAGTTTTCTGCAGACTGGTGAACCTCTGCCCATTTTTACTTCTGAGAAACCTTTTACTCCCAATCATGTTACTGACCTGTTACGAGTTAACCGAGTTACAAAATGTTCCCGAAGCGGATTCTTTGTAGTACCACTTACTTACCCATCCAAACCTTTTAAAAAATGAGCTAACATTTTTCATGACATAGTAAAATGTCTTAGTTTAAACATGTGACATATTTCCTATGTTTGTTTGTTTTTTTAAATTTGGGTTTTACGTTATTTTGAAACACAGAAATGAAGCAGAAATATTGCAAGATTATAAAATAAAAATCCACACTGATTTTTCTGTTGATTTGGCATCCTTAATAATTCCTAGTGATTGAGCTCCAGTCTTTGGCCAGAGGACTTCTGTTAATGCCTGCTTACAAAACAAAACACATGTAAATGAATAATATACGGTGATTTGTAACAAGCAGACTGTTGAATGGTGAGAAATACCCTGAAATATTCATTATGCTGCAGTCACTTTATACTCATTATGATTTCTGTTTCCTTTACTCTTTCATCGGGTCTTCGTGAGCTGCTCTTTTCACTCTCCCTCTCAAACCTCTTTTTGATATAGATAGTGGATCCATACAATCCCAGTTAGCCCCTCTAAAGGGTTCATGTTTATTTAGTGTCTGCTTTTAAACACACATGGCTGAAGTATATAAACTGCTTTTTTTTTGTTGTACATAAGTGCTTTACATACACCTTTATCTCTGACTGAATGTCAGGATCGCACTTATAAGGACGCTTTTCGTTCTGACAATATATTTTCTGATCTGATTGAGACTGCAGCGTTTTCGTGCTGTTGCATGGTGTGTTACCTTAATTTGAACACGAGAGGGTGCTTCAGGCTAAATTTTGGCATTGATTATTAAGTCTCGTAGTTAATTGTTCGATGACATGATTTACAAATACGTCTCATACATCCTAATTTGGAAACCAGATCTTCCTTCCTTATATTATAAAAACTTTGTTCGGATCTGGGTGCTGAAAATAACAATAGTGAAATATTTTCACAGTTGTACAAACCTACTTTGCGTTTGCAACCCTTGACACGCTGCAGTAGTTACACCCTTTTCCACATACTCTACAGTAAAATAACAAAAAATGTCGGGTCTGCATCGGGTCGTATTTATAGTTATTTCAGTAATAGGCTATTAGTGTCTGACCATGTAGTAAGACTTCTAATGTTCATCCAGTCTCAGTGAAGACAACCCTGCTTTAAAATGCATCACACCATTAAGTCCATTTAGTACAGTAGTGGATGGGCGTTTCAGAAATATAATTAACTGCTTTCTACAATTTGTTTATATAAAAGTTTGCGTTTTAATTATAATGCCCATGCAGTGTTTAAAGTAAGGTTACACTCTCCAGTGCATACGTCTGAGAGGGTGAGTTTAAAAGGCCACATCATCTGATCCCTCCCTGTCCCAGACTGCCCAAACAGTGAAAAATGATCATCTGCTCTTGACCCAAGGACGTCGAGAAATGCAAATATGCTATCACATATTTGCATTTCAGTTATGCAATTCACGCTTTCGTAGAAAAGGACTTGCCAAAGACACGACTATTTGTTTCTCTCTGTGTGTTTTGGAAATCATTGCCAACTTGTGGGACATCTGTTTTCTCAATAGTCAAGAAGGCGGATTCATGACGCAATTGTCCCATACGTCTCCTCCTATTTAATAGCGGAGCACTTCGTCCTCGTCTAAAAAGCAACTCATATTTTCAAAGAAAATGCTCAGGTTTATCGATTTCAGCTGATGGTATGTTGATACTTCTCAACACTTTTTTTCTATGCGTTGTCATTGTTGTACATATTTTAGTTTGCCGGTGCATTGCAGCAAACTTAAGAAAGTCAGTTGATGTGGCATTGTGGACTTCTCAGAAGCTCCTACGCTTAAGATTTTCTTCAGTGTATTTTTATAAGTTTATATTATTTCTGAGTACATTTGATTGTAAATACTATTTTAAAAAAGACCTCGTGAGAAAAGCGATTTCATTTGAGACATTTTCAGAAATATATTTTACTGCAGTCGACGTGGGCGAGGGTCGAGGTTTTTCTGCCGGTATACCTCATATAATTGCCGTGTTTCTGAAAAGTACGCGAATGCGGCATAGTTGACGCGCCTCAGATCCGGTGCAGGGCGGTATGAACCGGCTTCCCCAAGTAGTCACCGGAAGCCAAATACAAGAAGAGAAAATGATAACAAAATAAAAGTGAATTTTTAATACAATGTCCAAATGTTTTCGATGCAAATGCTAATATTGAAAACATTGCTGATTAGTTTTGTATGTTGTTTTCTCTACATTCTGTGTTCCAATACAATAGTCTTAAAGTTTCTTTACATTTGTCACTGTTTTACAATACGGTGTCTTAAAAAAATGCATTCTTTCATTATAATAAAAAAGGGTGAAAATGTTAATCCAGCGGTACACCAAACATATAAAAAAAATTAAAACACAATGATCATGGATCATAAATTTCGTTCTGGTTCTTTTAGCTATCTCACAACCTCAACACAGGTAAAGCCATCATATTGGACAATGAGATGGGAAAAGTACACAACAGGTTTTAGTAGCATATATTAAAAAAAAACTTGTATCTTAATTTTGTGTAATCTAAAGAAATGGATATGTATATATCCAGGAGGACTTTACCAAAGTTCTTCTGGATATAATTTCGTTGACGTTCGGTCTGTAGTTTTACTTTTAAAAATATATCCCGGAAGTCGTATGTGACTTCTGGTCATTTAACGCACGCGTTCCGGATGTTTGCTAAATCCGTTAAACAATGGTGAAGCTTTCATGTCAGTCAGTTAATTCTTAGTAAATCAACACTTAGTTGTGTCTTTAGGGGTTTTGCAAGGTTTCTGTCAGAACAGGGTTATATTTTCAGTGAGTGTTTTGTTTTCTCTTGAGGTAAAGCTTCCTGTCTATCTGGTGCTTGTTTCTCTGCACAGAGATGGGTGTTGTTGGATCGGCTGTTCAGATTAGCTTTCGCTTAGACCGACAGCTGTCAGCGGGATAGGCGAAGTGTGTTTTCCGCGGGCTCTCCTTACGCGTGGGTGTCAGGAGCCGATACAGAGGTGCCAAGACTTAGAAAGGTAGTCGCTTCTGTTTGTATTTTCCTACTTTTCGGATTTTTAACGATGTTTTTGTGACACAATTTCTGTTAACACATAAGCTAGATTAATGTGCATTTTACGTGGAGTTAACGCGCTAACTGTTGCTAATGAGATAAATTGCATTACTATTACTTCTTAGATAATGTAATTTTGATAATGTCGCAAGTTTTTAGCAGACTGTG